GAAACTTATCTGGTTGTGTTGTTAAAGGATATAAAGCTTGTCCAATATGCGGCGATGATACACCTAGTCACAGGTTGAAAAATGGCCACAAAATTTGTTACATTGGGCATAGAAAATGGTTACCGATCAATCATCCATATAGGAGGCAACGTGCAGCTTTTAATGGGAAACCTGAATATGGCACGCCTCCTGAGCCATTAACCGGAGAAGAAGTGCTGCATATGGTTGAAGATGGTGACAGAGTTTGTTGGAAGAAGAAATCAATATTCTTTGATCTCGAGTATTGGAAATACCTTCCTGTGAGGCATGTCCTAGATGTTATGCACATTGAGAAGAATGTTTGCGATAGTATCATTGGTACATTGCTGGAGATCCCTGGAAAAAATAAAGATTGGATTGCTGCTCGATTAGATTTATTGAATATGGGGGTCAAAACTGATTTGCAACCCGAGTATGGAGAAAGACGTACTCGTTTGCCTCCCGGGCCTTGGAATTTGTCAAGAGCAGAGAAGAGAGAGGTTTGCAATTCTTTCTATGGTATGAAGGTCCCTGAAGGTTATTCTTCAAATATAAAAAATCTTGTATCTTTACAAGATTCAAGACTTCTTGGCCTTAAATCACATGATTGTCATACCTTAATGCAACAATTGCTCCCTGTGGCAATTCGTTCTGTTTTGGAGAAGCCTGCAAGGTATGCAATAACTTGTTTGTGCTTCTTCTTCAATGCTATATGTGCAAAGACTGTTGATGTTTCCAAGCTAGATAAGTTGGAAGAAGATGTAGTAGTTACTTTGTGTTTGCTTGAGAAGTACTTTCCCCTTCATTCTTTGATATCATGGTTCATCTAGTAGTACATCTTGTCAGAGAAGTTCGTCTGTGTGGGCCAGTATATTTTAGATGGATGTATCCGTTTGAAAGATATATGAAAGTGCTAAAGGGGTATGTTCAGAATCGTACTCGTCCCGAAGGTTGCATTGCTGAGCGGTATATAGCTGAAGAAGCTGTAGAGTTTTGTACCGAGCATTTATCTGATGTTAGTACAGTTGGAGTGCCTTCAAGCCAAAAGATGGGAGTTTCAAAGCCATTATCAGGTTGCACAGTGAGCGTAGTTGATCGGGACCTGTTGAACCAAGCACATCTATATGTCTTGGAGAATACGGAGAAAGTCTTACCTTATATCGAGTACGTATGAGTTTTATTCTTTAAGTTTCCATTTTAAATTATTTTTTATGTTTATCTTATATGTTTGGGACCATAAAGCTTGAATTTTTCGTGTCATGTAGGCAACATATGATCCACATCAAGACCGCTTATCCAAAATTTAGAAAGAGAACAAAGTGGCTGCAGGATAAGCACAATAACACTTTCATTCAATGGCTACGCTTCAAGGTGTATGTTATTGAATAACATATTGGACTTTTAATTTTCTTCTATCTATGTTAGATTGAACTAAGTTATGATTAATTTGCAGGTTCAAAGTGAACTTAATGAGGAAGACAATCATGGCGTATCAGAAAATTTAAGGTGGCTAGCAGCTGGTCCAAACATGGCAGTGCCATTATATAGGAGCTATCTCATTAAAGGTATTAAATTCAACATCAAGGCACAAGATGATGTGCGGACAACTCAAAATAGTGGAGTTTATTTACTTGCACATACTATGCAAGTTGCTAGTGCCAAGGATAAAAACCCAATTATCTCAAATATGGGTTTCTATGGTGTCATTCAAGAAATTTGGGACATTGACTACCAAAAGTTTACAATCCCAGTCTTTAGGTGTGATTGGATTGATAATACTTCTGGTCTTGTAGTGGACGAACTTGGATTTACCCTTGTAGATTTGAGTAAAATTGGACATAGGAATGACCAATTTGTTTTGGCTTCTCAAGTCAAACAAGTATTTTTTGTTGACGACCCGATGCATCGTGGTTGGTCGGTAGTGTTATCAATGCCTAATAGAGAATATAATGATGTTATTGGTGATGATGTCTTAGGTGATGTGAGAATTGAGTGTGAGCCATTTACTAGAGGGATGCCAAATGTTGACACATTTGATGAACTGGTGGGTGAGTTTGGGAGTCAAAATATTCGAGATGGGTGTGAAGATATATGGATTGAATGATGCTTATGTAATTGGCAGTGTATGACATTAATTTTGTAATATATTGTAATGTGATTTCTTCACTTTCATTATACAGGTTTTGGCCACAAAACAATCAGTACAAAAAATACTGGTTCAAGATTACAAACATGACGGTCTTGATAAAAATGTGAAAAACAAACGTCTGTTCTAATAAAAAATGACGTTTTGGAGCATTCAACGACCGCAATATATTTATCGACGTCTTAAAGCAACGTAACAATGAAGAACCACGACTCTATTGTGAAACAGTTATTAAAGATATCACGTTGGAATAAAGGTAGAGGTTTCTTGGGAGCCTTTACAAGGGTTGATCTAATTAAATTTCGTGAGCACTATATTATGTGTGATATGATTATATGTACATTGATGATGTTTAAATGCTACATTGTTGTGATATTATATATAGGATATTTACGTATTGTGAACTATTTGAATAATGTTGGCATAATTATATCATGTCATGGAAATTGGTTGGAGTTGTTGGGTTAAGAAAATAATGATGGAAAAGAGGGTAATGGAAATAGTCTTTTGTGTAGTTGAGTCTAACTCTTGGCAGGTACCAGGTCTCAGGGATCCCACAGTGCACATGATTTTTTATTGGGTGATTCGGGACTGGCGAAAGGGAGTTAGACAAGATGACTAACAAAAGGGGAATAATGGGATGATTGAAATGGGTGTTAATTCATATAAATGGGCATTCGAGACCAAGTGGTATAAGCATGGTATGGGACGTGCAGGTCTGCTTGTCCAGTTATATGAATTAATAGGATTAGATTAAGAGCATTCATGCATTAATATTATTAATGTGATATTTGGTTGTGTGATTGCATGTCACTTAATTTAGTTATATCAATCTATTGTGATAAGGTCTCATGTCCCTACTGAGCTATGGTTGCTCACCCCTCACCCTATTTAATTTTTCAGATAAATTAGTAGGCAAGACAAGGACTAAACTAGTTGAGGCTGAATTAGATGAAAGTGATAGAGCTTTATTCTATACTTGTAAAATTGTAAGATTTTGGGAGCTATTTTTATAAGAGAAGTTTATTTTAAACCATGTTTCGGCTTCTTTTTATTTTATTTTTATTTTTATTTTATTTTTCTCACTCACCGGGTGCGGGGTTTCCACCGACCCCCGGGTACGGGGTGTGACAACAAGGAATTTTCTTGTCACAAAGAAAATATGTTCTTGATTTATTAAAGGATATGAGCCCATTGGTACTCATGTTGAACAAAATTATGGTTTGGGATATTACAAATACATTTCAGAGGTTACCAAATGGCCAGATCCAGATCCATTGTTGATGTTATCCGTGTTTTTAGGAGTGGACAAAGGGTTTGGTTTGATGTGTTGTGCTAGGAAAGAAGGGGTGGGTTCGAAACAAGGGCAAGGGAGGGGGGAGGTCTTGGAGGAGTAGGTGACTATGTGGGTGTTAGGGTTGGGCTTGGGAGAAGAGAGACAAAGAGAGGTGGGGTGCTTTGAGAAGTTTTGTGGTGACAGATATGACAGATGTCCTTGAATTTCTTCAAATTGAAACCACAAGGACAACATTGACCAAATTGAAACCACAGGGACCAAAATGGTAAAAATAGCAAACTATAAGGACTAGAAGTGATTTTTTGCCTTGTTTTTAACATGTTAGTTTGTTTCCCTTCTGAAATTGGTACTTTAGATAAGTGTTTTCAAAGGCATACCTTTGCACGTGTCGGAGCGAGGCGGGAGGAAAACGCCCAAGGCGGTCGGCTGTTTCGCGAGTTACATGTTTAGTGCTGGGAAGGCGTTGCAAGGCGTGGCCAGGCGGAGCGAGGTGTTGCAAGGTGTACCAAATTTGGAAACTTCTGAACAGGAAGAAATTTGAGAGTCTGCAAATTTTCTGCAAGGAAGACGACTCGTTTTTTTTTATTTTTTTATTTTATAGGTTTATTGTAATGAAACGATGTCGTTTTGATTGCAGTGTTTTAAAAACAATCTTATAGTGAAACGATGTTGTTTCGCTTGGAGTGTGTTGAAAAATTAAAAAACGGAAGTTTCAGTTTTTTTTTCCTTACCTTTATTGTAATAAACTTAAGGCAAGAATTAATATCTTTTTTCTTTTTTCCTAACTCCCACCGACTGTAGCTTTTGTACTTACCTTTTTTTTTTTTTGTTTTTTTTTTGTCTTTCTCTAAATTAATATATTAACACATGGATTATATATATATATATATATTGTATAGTACGTGTACAACCCTAATTTCTACCCTTATCAGATAACTCCATCAATTTCAAGAATTCTCTTCATCTTTCAACTGCAAGTAAGTTTTTTTATTTATTTTTTATTTTTTATTTTTTATTTATGGGATTGATTATTATGTTTTGAATGACAATTAGTACTTATATTTGATTATATTTAAAAGATTTTTATGGTTGAAAAAGAATTAGTTGTACAATTTAATCGTATTGTATTATTCATAAATTTTTCTTATTAAAATAACTTAATGTTCAAAAGGCTTACGCCTCAATGCTTCAAGGCTTACGCCTCGCATAGCGCTATTAAAAACGCCTTGCCTATACGCCTCGCCTTTGAAAACATTGCTTTAGATGTCATGTTGATGTCTTTAATTATACTGTTGAAGTTATCTTTAATTAAAAAAAAGGTCATATATTAGCCATGTCTGAAATTTATTCTAATCACATACACCAGTTAGCGATGTATGAAATGGATTCTAGCCAAGTCATAGACACCGGTTCTAATGAAGTGGATCTCAAGATCCACTTTATTAGAACCATGGCATTTTCCCTTTTGCCCTCTCTAAGGTTTTTATTGATGACACCAAATTAGAAAAGGAAATTGCGAGGATAGATTTCAAAAGGAAATCAGCGGACAAACAACTTAAACTTGAATTGTTAGACATTTTGACACTAAGATCATTATGCAGAGTACATATATAGATAAACCTTAATTAAAGGCAGGCTTATGATTGAGAGTTCATTAGACAACTCAACCAAATAACCTTTTATTGACATACAATTTACAAAGATAGTAGTACTCTAAGCGTTATCTAATTCTTTGTTTCAGTCTCAGCAGTTCCAGGTCCTGGACTTTCATAGTGGCCATGGTCTCGACCATATCCTTTCCCTCCTCGACTGTAGGGGTCTCGCTCACGTCCGTGACCACCTTTTATTCCACGGTTGTAGACACCACGTCCATAGGTACCTTGCCCTCCACGATTGTAGCCACCACGTCCATAGACAACGTGCCCTCCATGTCCATTTCTCTCGTAGGCATTATTTTCTTTATTCATAAAGATAATTCCCAAAAAAAAAAAAAAATGCCAGATGTCACTTAACAGAACCTTATTGATCAGTTTCCGTTCGGTAAGGAGCAAAACATACAATATTCAAAATTACTAAATATCCACATGTTCCTAATTATATATATAATGTATTCCAGATTCGTAGTTTGGCCTTAAAAAGGATGTTCAAGTTCATGTGCAGATTGGAATGCGCCTAATTAAATTCACAAACCGGTGGAAAAAAGAGACAAATATATATGTTTAAGTTAAGAAAGAGAAAAACTCACGATTAATTTGAGTAGTAGTTTCAGCTAGCTCACGAGCTGAGGCCTCGGAGACAATGAGGATGAGAACAACACACACAAGGCCAAGAAGAAGAAAAGTCTTCGAGGATGCCATATATATTTTTCTTAACAACAGAAGTTGCAGATAATGTGTCTTGCCTCTCCCTATTTATAGACCCTTTAAAAGAAGAAGAAAAAAAGTCTTGGAGGATACCATATCAATTGATCACACTACGTGAAAAACAAGTGGTTGTCTTGTGATTTACGTTGGATTAGAAGATTTTTATTACTATCGTGTTCGGATGAAATATACATGAGTGATTTGGAATGGAAAAACATTTGCTGACCACCTCACCCCTCTAATAAATATATGTATGTGTATATGATGAAATCAAGAGGTAGTCAATAAAGATGATACAAATATGTCGTTATTACTATCTACAATATTAGTGATAGAATATTTATAAGCAAGAGACTTGTAGCTTAAGTGGTTAAGAACATTTATTCATATGCATCTTAGGTTCTAGATTCGATTTCCTTCTCTTCCAATATTGCTTGTATAAAATAAAAAATAAAAAAAATTATTACTGATCGAACAGTAAGAAAAAATAAACAAAAGGAAAATACTTTGAAGTACTTCCAAAACCTTTTAACAAACGGAAGATTAAACATTATAAATAACTAAATAAAGGTTCAAAACTTATATGATTTAGTTTGTTTATATATTTAGAAGGAAAATGACCCTGGTTTCATTCGTCTGTCTATTTCCAACTTATTAATTATGGATCAAATTAAGGCAACATGCAAAATATTATGTTTGAAAAGAAAGACATTGTCAAGCACTGAGTAAGGGTAATATTATGTTTCAAGGACATTGCAATTCTCTAAGTCTATAGTTATGGCATGTTTACTAATCCATAATTGGATTACGAGGAATTGAATTGAGGAGTTGGATTGAGGAGAATTAGATTCTGGATTCTTATTGAAGTTGTTTACTAAACCATATGGATTGAGGGGAGTTAGAATCCTGAGTTATATTGAAGTTGTTTACTAAACCATATGGAATTGGAGTAGGAGTGGTAATAATTACTAAAATGTCCTCGTTGTTGGATTAAAGTAGATGGCAAATTTGAAAATTTGAAAATTGTGTGAGGATATAATAGGTACAAAAGATGAATTCCTAATGGGTTAGTTCTCTAGGAACTAGAATACCACCTCTCACTCAAGAATTGAATTCCTCTAAAATCAAGAATTCGATTCATAATTTTTTGTGGGGCTGACTTAATTTTCAATTTCTTGATGTAAAGTAAACGCAGGAATCCTCCATAGGTGGAATTCAATTCTTGATGAGAATTCCAATTCCTAATTAGTAAACACACCATTAATGTTTTATTTACTAATTATCGAATTTCATTTTGTTTATTTACTTTTACATACTATTATGGTGTTTATTTAATTATTATAATTAAATAATAGTAAAACTTATTGTTGTTGAGCCAACAATATTGACTCTTGCAGGTCCACAGACGTTGACGACCAAAAAGGACATGTAAGTCAAGCTAGATAGATACAAACCCAGCTGAAGTCGAAATGGGATTATTTATTTTAAGTAGAAGTCAA